GGCGGCAGCTGGCTGTTCTAGTGGCATCCCAAATTCAACATGCACAAAATCAAGTTCAAGCTCTTTGTCTTTAAACCTACTCTCATGGCATCTCTTCTGCTTCAATTCAGTCCATCACTGAGCACCCACCCAGTCATCGGGTGAGAAACCTGGGTATTATTCTTGTCTTCTCCATTGCTTCATCTTCCACTTGTAATCAGTAACCAAACTCTTCAGGTTCTACCTCCTAAGTATCTCAGTGTTCCATTCCCTCCATCTCCTCTGGTTATGACTTAATTCACAACCTTCTTTATCTCTCACTTAAATTATTGCCATACTACCTTCTTGTAATATGTGCATGTAACTTTTTATCTTGACTTTTTTGTTTTGTTTTGTTTTTGGTACCAGGGATTGAATCCAGGGGGACTAGGGGTGCTTAAACACTGAGCCACAACCCTAGCCCTTCTTATATTTTATTTTGAGACAGGGTCTTGCTAAGTTGCTTAGGGCCTTGCTAAGTTGCTAAGGCTGGCTTTGAACTTGCGAACCTCCTGCCTCAGCCTCCCGAGTCACTGGGCGTAGCCATCACACCCAGCACACTCTAGACTCTTGACTAGCAGTTTTGCCTCTTTTCTTCCCAGCCTCCAGTCAATTCTTTGAAATATCAGAACAGTTTTTCTAAGTTGCTAAAATAATTGTGTCACTCCCCAGTTTTAATATCTCTGTCATCTGTTAAGTAAGTCAGACTTTCTTTGTGGTGTGCCAAGGTCTATGTGATCTGGCTCTTGCTGAATTTCTAGTTTATTGTGATGACCCCCCAGAAACAGGTAATCTTTACAACTTCCAAATCAGCTATTACAAGGGTCTCCAAAGGAAGGAGCTCCGATGCCTCTGATCTTCACACATCTGCCTACCCCATGCTCTGGAATGTTTTTCTCTTCCCTCATGTTCTGCTGTTTAAATTGTTTTTCCTTAGAGACTCTTTGGAGCTTGACTGATTAGGTCCCTCCTTTTCTCCCATTCTCAGAAAGTTACTGCTTCCTGAATACACAGCACATTCTTTTTTTACTAAATTACATTGTTATGTAATTATTCATAGAAACCCCACTAGACTGTAATGCTACGGGGGTATACATTCCAAGACCCCCAGTAGATGCCTGAAGCCACAGAGTATTTTTAAATGTATATTTTAAAACATGTAATATATACTACATACAATATATTACACAATATATTACATGTTATATATTCTATATGTTTAAATATATGTTTACATACACATACACATAAGTATATATACTTAGCTCTAATTAGCTCTAATTCCTGCTGGCTGGGGGGAGAGCCTAGAGTTTCAAAGAAGAGGGATTATTTCCTGCAGCCAGGGAGTCACTTCCCCAAATCCTGTCATTGTGTGATCTGGAGGGTCTAGGTGGGGAAGACATTTTCATAGAGACTTGGTGCTGATGACATGATTGAAGAGAATCTGGAGGCTGAGATTTCAGTTTGCATGTGTGTCTGGGGTAGGCTAGGACAGTGTCATTATGACTTAGAGAGGCCATGACCATTCTTTCTCTCTCTCTTCGAAGACAATGCCTCCCCTTTACTTTACCTATGTTTTTTGCATACATACTAACCTATGATAAAATTTTATTTATAAATTAGGTACAGTAAGAGATTAACATTGGCAATAGTAAAATAGAATAATTATTATATTAAAAGTTATTTTAATTACTACATTAAATGTTATGTGAAGGTAATCTCTCTTTTCTAAAAAGAAATAATTTTTTTAGTTGTAGGTGGACACAATACCTTTATTTCATGTTTATGTGGTGCCAAGGATTGAACCCTGTGCTTCAGGCATGCTAGGTGAGTACTCTACCACTGAGCCACAAACCCAGCCCAAGGTAGTCTCTCTTATATCTTATGGTATCTTACTGTACCATACTCAAGCACTTTTTTTTTTTTCTTTCCTTACAAAGCTGAGAACTTTCACCTTTTCACTTAGAGGAAACACTTTCTGGCTTTTGTACTTCTTGCCCTTTGGTATATCTGAATTGCTGCCATAACTACTCTGTGCTTTGGGTCCATTACAATGATAGTCAATCTGATGACTGAGATGGCTACTATGTGACAATACAGTGTGAATATGCTGGAGAAAGAGATGATTCATGTTCCGGCAGAACTGAGCCAGAGGGCACAAGATTTCATCATGCTACTCAGAACAGTGCACAATTTACAACTTATTGTTTATTTCTGGAATTTTCTATTTAATATTTTTGGACCCAAGTTGATTGCAGGAAACTGAAACCTCAGGAAGTGCTGCTACCTTTGATATGGGGGGACTACTATAATCGTCTTTGCATTTCTAGTACTGGGCCTCATCCCTAGCACTTATTACTTTTTCAATGTATTTCTACAGAATGAATTAGAATTAATGCCTGCAGGAGAATAATCTTTCTGAGAAGGAGAGGGGTTGGAAGGGAGGAAGAGGCGGGGTCTGAAGAACACTAGGAATTTGCTGAGGAAAGATGCGCCACCCACCACAGCATTCTGCCACAAGATGGCACTGGTCTGAAGAGCCAGCAGCCTGAGGCTATGAGGAGAGCTCCACCAGGAGGCAGACATTCCTCAGCTGGCGGCTCAGCCCAGTGACACACCACACTGGACCTAGTCTTCAGAAGAGCCAAGTCTTCAGAAGGTTGCTGGCCCTAGATCTCTCCCTAGTGACTCATGATGCTGAATCCTACACTTCTGTGATTGGTTTACCCAAAATGACAAGGGCAACTATTGGAGATGAACTGGCAAAACATAATCTAAGACTACTCTCTGGGGGAGGGAGTTGGAGACCTGGGTCTGCCTGTTGGTAGCACTACCTACTGTGTGGTGTGAAGATATGGATCATGAGCAGAGCCAGGGAGCTACGCTGCTTCAGCTGCTAAGGCTTCTGTGGCTGCTGCCCCACTCCTGGGCCACCCCTGCAGGTAAGATAATGCCTCCCCTTTACTTCCATCCTGAGGATGTTAGAGTTGGGGGATCCCATCCCCAAGAGCATGGGAAGAAGAGACTCATGCTTTTAAGTGGTGGGAAGATTTATGAGTTTATGGCAACAACTGTGGACTTGGGTGGTAACCAGTGTCAGGTGTTTTACGTGTTCCATTGAAGATACTCTCTTGAAGCAGAGATGATTTTATCCACTTTACAGATGAGAAAATGAGACTCAGGGAATTTAAGTAACTTGTGCAAGTTCACACAGTTGGAAAGTTAGCAGAACTGAGATTTGAGCAAAGCAAAAGTTATTTCCATTCCTCCACTCAGGATAAGACTCGACTCTTGTCAACTCACCTTGTGATTCTGGAAAAGTCTCTCAACTTTATTGCTCCTTAGTTTCTTCTCTGTAAAGGACCTGGCAGAATGGAAGTGTAACCTGGAAGATCCCTCTCACTATAAATGTCTATGTATTAGGCATGGGGTAGAAGGTTTCCTGCTGGCTTGGGGGTTTCAGCCTATAGTTTCAAAGAAAAGGGATTATTTCCTGCAGCCAGGGAGTCACTTCCCCAAATCCTGTCATTGTGTGATCTGGAGGGTTTAGGTGAGAAAGACATTTTCATAGAGACTTGGTGCTGATGACATGGCTGAAGAGAATCTGGAGGCTGGGATTTCAGTTTGCATGTGTGTCTGGAATAGGCTAGGACAGTGTCATTATGACTTAGGGAGGCCATGACCATTCTTTCTTCTTCTCTTCTAAGACAGAGAAGCTATCCATGGCTTTCTAGAGTCCAGAGGGTGGCCTTCTGTGAATTAGACAAAGGTATCCCCTTTGGGAGGATGACCCCTGTGCTAGCTGCATGGCTTGGTGAGCACTGTGTGGGCTGCGTTTCAGTTTTCACCTGTCCTCTCTGCTGGTGCTTCTGTGACATAAACACACATTGATTGCTTAAGACGGTAGACCTTTCTGCATTTTACAACTTTAAACACTTTATGGGACTTTAAACTTTTTATGGGCGAGGAAGGTTTGGAGCTATTCCTTAACTTTTTTCTTTACCCTAGTTGGACTAGGGAGACTATGTGACAGGCACAGGAGCCTTCCACCACACCTCTGCCTCATGGCCTGAGAAGGGAGGAAGTGCCAGGGGTGGTGGTGCACGCTTGTAATTCCAGCCACTCAGGAGGTTGAGGCAGGAGAAGGGCAAGTTTGAGATCATCCTGGGTAACTTGGTGAGACTCTGTCTCAAAATAAAAAGTAAAAAGGTCTGGGGATGTAGCTCAGTGGAAGAGCACCTCTGGGTTCAATCCTCAGTACTCCACACTAGCTCCCCTACCCCATCAAAACAACAACAAAAAAAAGTAAAGGAGGATGCTCTCACCTCCCTGAAACTTGCCCTGTCCCTCTCTTTGCAGCTCCTGCTCCACTGTGGCGGGATGACCTGCAAAACCACACATTCCGACACACTGTGTTCTGCCAGGATGGGAGTCCCAGCATAGGGCTCACTGAGACCTACGACGAAGACTTGCTTTTCTCCTTCGACTTTTCCCGGAATACTCGGGTGCCCCGTCTCCCTGAATTTGCTGACTGGGCTCAGGATCAAAGAGATGCCTCTGCCATTGTATTCGACAAAGGATTCTGTGAAGCAATGATTGAGAAAATAGGCCCCCAACTTGAAGGGCAAATCCCAGTGTCCAGAGGTCAGGGTTTTGGGGGGGCAGAGGTTGGAGGTCTGCACTCTTACCCTCATTAATCTATGCACTGAGCTATTCCCCTCCCACCCTTCCCATCTCTTAGGTTTTCTCGTTCTCCCCTAGGATCTTTCTTTTTCTGCAAGTTAAAGTCTGCACCCTGCCCTCTGTGGTGGGTAGATTGTACCTGGCATATAGTAGGCATTCAAAACCATTTATTAAACTTAATGATTTCAACAGGGACCAGTTGATGCCTACTGAATATTAGCACTTGTGATACTGGGCTCAGCAAGATGGAAGAGAGATTGAAAGGATCTGATGATGTGCTTGTATTTTAATGAGAAGACAGTGCTTGATTGATATCAATGTGAGATTTAGAAAAGAAGTTAAAAAAAAAACACTCATCAACAGTCAGGGCAGAGGCCTGCAGGGTGGCTTGGATCTGGCTCTGCTGTTGGGTCCAGTTGCTATTCTTGCCTAGAAGTCTCCCTCAGAGTCCCTGCCCCTCCCTTTTTTCTAGCCCCAAATCCCCACCCACTGACTCCTCCTGCCCCTCCCCTCCAGGTGCCTCGCCTTGTCCAAACACCGGGGTACCATCTGATCTTGTCCTTTTCCCCCTAACACCCCGATCTCCCACCAGGTTACCCTGTTGCTGAGGTGTTCACAATGAAGCCCCTGGAGTTTGGCAAACCCAACACGCTGGTCTGCTTTATCAGTAATCTCTTCCCGCCCACGTTGACGGTGAACTGGCAGCATAATTCGGTCCCTGTGGAAGGAGTTGGGCCCACTTTTGTCTCAGCTATGGATGGACTCACCTTCCAGGCCTTTTCTTATTTAAACTTCACACCGGAACCCTATGACCTTTTCTCCTGCATCGTGACTCACGAAATTGACCGCCACACAACATTTGCCTATTGGGGTGAGACCCCTTTCCGCCACAAGACTGGTCCTTGGAGGGCAAAGAGGGGTAGACCCATTGGAGGGGCCTTCTTTCTCTACTCGGGCCTCGTTTAGAACACTCTTGCTCTAGCCAACCCTAGTCTTCCACGCCCGAGTTTCTCTTTCATCATCCCAGCCACCTAAGTCCCTCCTCTGGGGAGAGGACTCCTTAGCCAGGTGTCCAGGCTGACCTGTCCCTCTCCTTTTCCAGTGCCCCAGAATGCCTTGCCTTCAGATTTCCTGGAGAATGTGCTGTGTGGCATAGCCTTTGTCCTGGGCGTGCTGGGCATCGTTGTGGGCACTGTCCTCATCATCTATTTCCGGAAGCCTTGCTCAGGTGGTATGTCATCTGGAGGGATGGGTGAGCCAGATGGAGTGGTGCATGCGTGGGCATGCCAGGATCATCCTGTGGCATGGGGGAGGGTGTCCAGTGATTGACAGACCTCTCGGTGTGGGGGCCTGTGTCCAGCACCACAGGGGCACATCCTCCTGGCTGGGGACCCAGTCATATAGTTATGCATCATGGGAATGGCTTTGAGTGGGGGAGGAGTGGTATGGGGACTTGTAGGGAAGGTGCTTGGAGATGATTTGGGAAGGAGAGACCAGTCTGAGGAGGGTGTGCTGGGGGCAGAGGGAGGCCTTTGGGGAGGAGGGGGATCCTTCTAATGGCTTTCCTCCATCCCTCTCTCCTCAGACTGATTCTTTTTGATCGGAGTTTGATGCCAACACCTTCAGCCATTCAAGCAGGGGATCCTCAGGTTTCTCACATCCTGCCCAAGATCTTTCCTCAGAACAGAAGTCCCTGGGACTCTCCTGGGGAGTGTGCATGTAGGTTTTTCAGCCGGAGGCTCTGCTGTTCCTGAGTTTGCATCCAGAGGAGCCCAGAGTGGCCTGTCACAACGACACCTTCTTACTTCAGGCAATAAATCTCAGATTATTTTTATCAGTGTAGCGTCTTTCTTTTTCTCTTCTTTTCTTTCTTTCTTTCTTTCTTTTTCTTTTTTTTTTTTTTGTAGTACTGGGGATGAAACCCTGGCCTCGTGCATGCTGGGCAGTTGCTCTGCCACTGAGCGCCCCCCAGCCCATCCCCCCCTCCAGTGTAGCATCTTTCTTAACCCATGATGTTTGTTCCTGGAGACCTCAACTTGAGTGGGTTGTCATTTCAAATTAGACATGCCTTGGCCTGAACACAGCTTGCCCTCATTAGGGAGGGAAACAGGGAAAAACCCCCTCCCTCCTGGGCTCCTTAGCTGAGAACTCCTTTTCCCTGGTCTCAACGTGACGACAGCTTTTACTCCTCTCAGCTTGTGCAAAATACCTGAAGGATAAGAACTACTTTCTGATAATCTGCTCACAAAATGGTTGAGAAAGCTGCATATTTTTTTGTACTCTACTTGTGAAAATGACTGTCTAGTGCAGGCTTCCTTGAGGAACACATAACCCCCTCCAACCCGACCATAATTGGACAAATAGGAGCTCAGGAGTGGGAAGGAGAAGACCCCAAGTGTTCTTCTGACTCCATCAGATTGATTCTGTTTGGAGTGGCCTAGGGTAAAGAATTCATGTGCTCTTCCCAACCATCTGTTCTTTAGCCTAAGTGAACTGTCCAAGGAGAACCGTGACAGTGCTGTCCTGGGCAGATAGCAAGAGTGGGCGGCGCGTGATCACTGGTGGGAAATTCCTTTGCATGTGCTTTATCTCTTACTTCCCTTATTTCTCACTCCATTCTGGAAGTTGCTTTGGAGGATAGGATGGCATTAAGGTGAAGAGTGAAATTATTTTGGTCTTGGTAAGGGAGTCTGTGTTCTTTGAATTGTATCAGAGTCTAATCGAGGGGAAAATACCCAATTCATTCCAGGAGTTAGAATGTCCCCTGAACTATTTTGTTTCTAAGAGCAGCATGTAAACTGGTTAAAAAGTATGAACTCCAGATCCAGACTGCCGGGAATTCAATCAAAACTCAATTTTTAGAGGTGTGACCTTGGACAAGTCACTTAACCTCTCTGTGCCTGGGTGTCATTTCTCTAAAAGGATGATCGTAAAGATTGTGTCCAGCTTATAGGTTGTTATGAATCTTAAACAAGTTAATATATGTAGAATGCTGAGAATAGAGTTTGGCATATAGAAAAGGAGCACAGTGACTTAGCATTATCACTGTCTTGAATTTCACAGAGCTTAGTAGCATCATTGACTTTTTTTTTTCTTTTCTGAAACACTTTGAATCTACCTTCAGTATTGTATTCTTTCTTTATATGTTTTTATTCTCATTTTATCTCTCTGAATCAGACCCTTGTCTAGTTCCTCCTAATTTCTGTTCTATTTTCCAATGTATGCAGCAATTTCCTGCTAGTCTAAGCTTACAATTGCTTTTTCCGTGCTGTCTGATCTTAGACAAGTCACTATCCCTCTCTGGGTCTCAAATTCCTCCTCTGTCAAATAATGGACTTAGATTAGATGCTTTCTCATCAAATATTTGATGACATTGTCACTTAAATACTCTAAAAGCATTTAAGACCCTCTCTGATCTTGTGCACTTCTTCTATCAGATAAATATTACCCATTATGCCCAACATGGATCCCATCCTGGTGCTTCACATGGGCTGGGCAAGCGTTCTACCACTGAGCTAAACCCCCAGCCCAGGAATCCCATTCTTGGATGAACCTTCTCTCTGTTCCTCCTTTAGAGCATTTCTCCAGGCTCTTTCCTCTCACTCAATGCCTTCTTCACTCTGTTCAGCTCATTCCCCTCTTAACCAACTGGAGGTCCAGCTCACCTTCAACCTCTTCGTGAACTTATCTGATCCTCCAGCCCTAACTGATCTTTATGAAATTCGTCCCAATCTTCAAGCTCTCAACCCAGACTTTACTCTCAAATATATGTGGCCTTGTTTCCTAATGTTACTTTTTTTTTTCACTCAGCCAGTTTATAGTTTCTCTAATTCAAAACTAAGAAACAATTTACTATCACAGCAAGATAGTTCTCATTTCCCTTTGTCTTCATTAACACTTGACATATTTGACTTTCAAATGTTGGCCACATGGTGGTCGTAGAGTGGTATCTCATTGTTTTAATTTGCCTTTCTCTCACTCCTAGCAAGGCTGGTCTTCTTTCCATTGAGTTCTTTCTCTGTGAATCGTTGATTGATATCTTTTGTCGATTTGAAAATGACATTTTCTGTCTTTTTGTCATGCATTTGGGGATATGTGTATTCTATGTAATAACCTTGGGTGGTATGGATATTTCTAACGCCTTCTTCCAGTTTGCTGCTCTTCAACTAACTTTGCATAAAATTCTTTACCTGAATAGAATTATCTAATTTTAGCAGTCAGAACCCAGTGGTCTCATGCTATTGGTTTTAGATTGCAAATGATTGACTGGTTGAATGATTTTTTTTTCTGTTTATAAAATGGAAGCTTAAGTTAAAACCATCTGTCCAGAAGAGGAACCTGAGAATGTACACTGAGTGGTTTTAGGAAGTGCCCAGAAGAGCTTCATATTGTTATGGCCATACTTTCAGGAAAAGACAAATGACTTCTTTTGACAGGCAATTGCAGTGATGATGGTAGCTCGTTTCTGTTTCAGCCCACCATGTGCCTTGTAGACCCCCCTCCAGCATCTCATGGCACTATTAGGTTTGGGGGCTATGTGCCAGGACTGCAGTGCCAACTACCTTCCTCTCCCACATGGATCCAGCCCAGTGGCTCACCTCCAGTGTCCCTGGATCTAGAGAACTCCCTGCCCGTCATGCCTACAACCACTTCTTTTCCCCCTTTTAAGTCCACCGGCTTTATTCCTTTCTTGGTTTAACATCAATTCTTCTTTCTATAGGTGTTTGTTCCCCCTCCCCAGCTGACCTCAAACAAGATGATATGAAGGCAGTGTCCCTATCTCCCACCAGACATTCCCCGTTGCACTTCGCACATAAATACTGGGGTTCATCCACTGCAGGAATATGGTACCAGGCTAGGGGAAGAGGCAGCAGGAAAGCAGAAGACTCATCCTGGGGGTCTTGCATAGTGGCCTTAAAAGAAGGATACGTGTGGGAATCTGCCTAGAGTTCCACTCCTTCCTATTGCTGCATAAATCATGATCAAAAAAGCAACAATGGACAGGACAGTTGAAATATCATTTTGAGTTGGCTGGAAGTGGGAAGACAGAACTACATCTGTAAAAATAGTGGTTGGGAGAAGAGGAAAGAAGAAACTGCTTCACTGAGCACAGGTCTCTGGGTGGTTTTTTCTCCAGCCTTATTCTAAAAATCTCTCAGTGTTCACATGAATAGAGAAGCGAAATCTCCTCCTACCATTTCCTGCTGCTGCTGCTTCACAAAAGGTTTCACATCTCCTTTGACTGTCGGAGCCAGACCCAGTCACAGGAGGGAACTCCGCTCAGCCTCACTGCCACAGGTGATGGCCACATCCTGATGGCACGGGACTGCATAGCACACAGTCCTTTGCCAGGGACAGGCTTTGTAGACTTTGAAAAGGATGCCAAGACCTGGCTCCTGCAAGTTCAGGCTCACTATCTACTTGGAAGGGATGGGGAGGAATGTGAGGAGGAAGTTTAGGTGGGGGAGGGTGTAGGATTTGCATAATTTTGAAACTGTCTTAAGAGAAAGTGGGCTGAACGTGGTGACTCATGCCTGTAATTCTAGCTACTTAAGAGACGGAGGCAAGGGGATCACAGGTTCTAGGCCAGATTGGGCAAGTTAGTGAGACCTGTCTCAAAAAAATAGGTGGGGTGGTGGTGTCTGGGGATGTAGAACAGAGGTAGAGTGTTCCCAGCTTCAATCCCCAGTACCAAATAAACAAGAGAAAAACAACAAGAGAAAAAAATGAAAACCGGAAAGTGGATGAGAGTGGTTTTAAAAGCAGAAGGAACTCTGCGCACAGGAAAGACGAATCTTGGATGGACTGGGTGTGGATTGTGGCCCTTTTCTTCCTCCTTTTCTCAACCGAGTTCTTACTAACTTCCCTTATTTGGGCCATCCCAGTTCCAGGAGGTATTTAAGTATGTGAGCACACTTGTTATAGCTGAAGAGGGAATGAAGCTTGGCACTGTGTGTGTTAGAATAAAATAAGCTAAATCCTCTAGACCTTAGATGTGAATCCCTGGATTGTTTTCAAATCTATAAAATGAAGACAGTTGAGCCAGGTGTGGTGTTGCATGCCTGTAATCCAGTTCCTTGGAAGGCTGAGGTAGGAGGATTGCAAGTTTGAAGCCAGACTCAGAAGCTTAGCAAGTTCTAGGCAACTTAGTAAAATCCTGGACCTTGTCTCAAAATAAAAAATAAAAAGAGCTGGGGATGTGGCTCAGTGGTTAGGTGCCCCTAGATTAAATTTTTAAAAAAGAAAGAAAAGAGAATAAATGAAGAAAGACACTTAACAAGTCTTTTAAGATTAAATGAGATAGCATTTAAAAGACCTACCTAGAATAGTATCTGTTACAAAGTTGAAATTCAACAAATTCTGGACCCACCACCTGGGTTCTGCCTACTTAAACACACCTGATGGTTCCTTATAGGGGTCAGAGTCTATAATCAAGGTGGGCACAAAGCATGGGTATAGTTGGGAAATATAGGCAGAATTTCAGTTAATCTTAATTAGTTATACAAAATAAATCTTTTGTTCCTGACATTAATCTTTGAATTCATTTTTGGTACATGTCCCCCCACTCCTTTTTCTTCATAAATATCAGATTTTCTTGAGCTCAGGGACTTTGGCAGTGGGCGGGTAAGTGTGGTGTTGGGGGACTCCCTCCTGACCCTTTTCTGTTTAGTCTACTATTTAATACAACAGCTTTCAGAAACTAAGGTGAGAACAGGTAGCCCTGGAGCCTGCTGGGGAGCAGAAGGAAGTCAATTTAGGGTTTTAAGTTTAGGATGAAAAACATTCATCAGGGGCTGGGGATGTGGCTCAAGCGGTAGCGCGCTCACCTGGCATGCGTGCGGCCCGGGTTCGATCCTCAGCACCACATACAAACAAAGATGTTGTGTCCGCCGAGAACTAAAAAATAAAAGTTAAGAATTCTCTTCTCTCTCTCTAAAAAAAAAAAAAAAAAAAAAAGAATTCATCAACTGTATAGCTCACAATGGGGTAAAGAGTGAATTTCCATGGGGCTGGGGATGTGGCTCAAGTGGTAGTGCGCTTGCCTGGCATGCATGCGGCCCGGGTTCGATCCTCAGCACCACATACAAAGATGTTGTGTCTGCCGAGAACTAAAAAATAAATATTAAAAAAAATTCTCTCTATTTCTCTCTCTCTCTCTCTCTCTCTCCTTTCTCACTCTCTCTTTAAAAAAAAAAAAAAAGAGTGAATTTCCATTTAAAATCTGTCTTTTCAGGGCTGGGGACATAGCTCAGTAAAAGGGAGCTTGATTAACACGTGAAAGGCCCCAAATTCAATTCCTGGCACCTAAATAAAATCTGTCTTTTCCAGGGGAGTAATAGCTGGGAAGCTTCCTCTCACTGTTTTGGTGGTGTTCATAATGCATTCACCTGCCTTGGGACAGAAGGGACTATAGGGGGAGACACTCAAGGGAATTTAGAATTTGGGGGAAGACAGGTGAGTTTTAGACCCAGGGCCAGCTATTCACCCAAGGGCTTTAGTGGAATTGCCCTGCGGTCTACCCCAGAGATGGCTTTGAGCATAGGAGGTTAGTTTCCTGTCTCCAGAAGACAGCTGTTACAGGTGAGGGAGAAACGAAGCTTGACTGGCTAGAATGGGAGAAGCAAGGAGGCCTGGGGGGACTTTCCTGTCCTGTCCCTGTCTCAAAAGTGGAACTACTTCCTTTCTTCTGCAGTCTTGCTTTGAAAGCAGTCCACTCTGCACTCTCTCTGCGCCTTCTTCCTTCTAAGCAGCTCTGCCTCTGCCACAGGGGTGACAGACAGATCAAGGGTTTATGTTTTATTTCCCCATGTAACTGTCTTTTAAGGGACAAGAAGGAGTCTCTGGCTGGGCACGGTGGCACACGCCTATAATCCCAGAAGCTGAGACAGGAGTATTGCAAATTCAAAGCCAGCCTCAGCAAAAGTGAGGTGCTAAGCAACTCAGTGAGATGCTGTCTCAATATATAAAATAGGACTGAGGATGTGGCTCAGTGGTCTAGTGCCCCTGGGTTCTTTAGGAGGGTATTAGGAGGAGAAAGTCCAGGCCATACGTATCCTTGAAATGTTGGGATTATTCCTTCCACTGACCTTGGGAAATCAACTACGGTTTTGTTTCACAAGAAAGATTTAGAAAGAAAGTCCAGGAATTTGAGAGAGAGAGAGAGAGAGTGTATGTGTGTCTCTAGGAGTCCGGCTGTCTAAGCCTATGGCAGGACAAGGTTTACCTGGTAACTGATGATGCTAGGCTGAGAACTCAGCAGCAATTTGTCTTTACATTTGTCCCCACCTACCGAGTTAATCTGACAACTCTGGGACAGGGGACTGAGTTGGTAGGATCAGTTTTAGTATCTAGGGGCTGGCTAGCCCCCAAACACTCATCTAGTGAGGATCAATACCCTATTCTGCTCAGTGTGTGGAGATCATTTACCCAGATTGGCGCTTCCAGAACAGAAAAGGACCCAAGGCCCTGTATGAGCTGGTCCTGGGGCTGGAATCCCCTGTGTCTACCAGAGCATGACTACACTCCTGCCGCTGCTGCTGGGCCTCAGCCTGGGCTGCACAGGAGCAGGTAAGCATCTTCCTTCCTGGGACCCTCTCATTCCCTGCTCCTCTTTTAGGGCAAGGCTGTTCGGTTTTGTTATTGGGTTTGGGCAACCTGGACTAGTTGGTCTCTCTACTTTGTTATTCCTATAGCTCTTTGTACTGTACTTTTGCAGCATTTTTTTTTTCCAGTACTGGGAATTGAAACCAGGGCTGCCTTGTGCATGCAAGGCAAGTGCTCTACCACTGAGCTACATCCCCAGCCCTTTTTTATTTTTTATTTTGAGACAGGATCTCACTAAGTTTCCCAGGCTAGCATTAAACTTGTGATCCTCCTGCCATAGGCTCCGTAGTACCTGAGACTTGCAGCAATTTTAATAATAACCAAGCGGTGTAGCTAGTTGTGTAATGTCTATCCCCTGCTGCAAAGTTGGCCAGGACAATGGCTGCATCTCCATCTCCTAGCACTGTGCCTGGCACACAGCAAGTGCTTCATAAATAGAAATGCAATGAATAGTTAATAATATTTCCAGCAGAAAAAAAGGCTTTTTTTTCTTCTTCACCCCTTTTCTCCCTTTCAATCATTTGCCTTACTGAAGGGCTCTGTTTGGGGTAACTTTTAATGTTTAATCATGCAAATAATCATGGGCTGCTCCTATCCCAGTACTTAGTCTCACATAATGAGGAAACAGGATCTAAAAACTTCTCTGCTCTTGCATCTATTCTCCTCAGTTGGGGCTTCTAGAGACTCCAGCATGGAAGCATGGTCAGTAGAGGCTTCCCAAAGTGAGAAATCTTTGGGTATAACTGAGGTTTGGGTTCCCAGCTGAATACAAGAAAACCCGTGTGTTTTTTTCTTCTGTGTGTTTATATCTATGTGTTCTGTGACCAGATGGGTAGGTTCCCCCCTACCTCCTCCAACCATTTATCCTAGACCTGCTGGGTACCATTCCATGGTGACACATAGTCCCCACAGGCTAAGGGCTCAGTCACACAAGACTTCCCCCACTTCAGAGGTCACTCACAACCAGAAGGACCCCAGGTTAGAAGGCCCACAACTTCCATCCAACTTGGCTACAAATCAGAATTTTCCATGATCCCCTCCTGGAGTTTGATAATTCACTAGACAGGCTCATAGAACCTAGGAAAATAGCTTACTATTATTGATTTATTACAAAGACTAGTTTAAAGGGTAGAGGTGAGACACCAGGTGAAAAGGTACATAGGCCAGATCCCCAAACGTCTCCATGGAGTTGGGGTGTGCCTCCCACCTGACATGTGGGCTCAGAATTTCATTGGGGTTTATGAGACCTCATCACATAGGCATGACTGATTGAAGAGCTTCCAGCCCTTCTCCCATTCCTGAATGTTAGGAGATGGGGATAAAAGTTCCACGCTTCTAATCAGGGCTTGAACTTTCCAATGTCCATCCCTCATCGGAGTCCACCAAGAGTCACCTCATTCAAACAAAAGACACTGCTAGGAAATTTCAAGGGATAAGGAACTCTGCATCAGGAACTAGTCAAACCAAATATTGGAACAAAAGATGCTTTTAACACCCTGTACCATTGCTCGTGAAATCACAAGCATTTAGGAACTTTGTGCCAGGAACAGGAGAAAGAAAACACATTTTTTTTTTTTTTTTTTTTTTGTGGTATTGGGGATTGAACTCAGGGGCGCTCAACCACTGAGCCACATCCCCAACCCCATTTTGTATTTTATTTAGAGACAGGGTCTCACTGAGTTGCTTAGTGCCTTGCTTTTGATGAGGCTGGCTTTGAACTTGCGATCCTCCTGCCTTAGCCTCCCGAGCCGCTGGGATTACAGGTGTGTGCCACTGTGCCTGTCCAGAGAACACATTTTTAAGTATGTCATACCTACCCCTCCTCCTCTGGCTCCTCTAGGTGGCTTTGTGGCCCATGTGGAAAGCACCTGTCTCTTGGATGATGACAGGAATCCAAAGGACTTCACATATTGTATCTCCTTCAACAAGGACCTCTTGGCCTGCTGGAATCCAGAAGAGGGGAAAATAGCCCCTTGTGAATTTGGAACACTGTATCCATTGGCCCAACAAATCTCACAATACCTCAACCAAAATGATAACCTGCTGCAGCGCTTGCGCAACGGACTGCAGGATTGTGCCACACACACCCAGCCCTTCTGGAAATCACTGACCAACAGAACACGTAAGAAGAGAGGGGTGCAGAGGGGCTATGGGGAAGCACAGTTGGGGGGTGGGTAGGGAAGATCCCTTAGCAGCCAAGGGGTTTGAGATTGGAGCAGGAAAGAAGCTACAGTGACTTCCAAGAGAGCTTATGGGTCAGACCTGGCATTTATCAATTGTGATTGAACATGATCTTGGAGTAAAAAAGATTAGTGCATTGAATGAAGGCAATGAAGGAATGCAAGGGAAGAAGCAGTGAAGCAGATGTAAATGTAATGCCTCCCCTTGAAGCAGTGGCTCGTTACAGGGTGGTGAGCGTGGAAAGTAGTTTGGCAAAATCTATGAAGAGTTGAAATGGGAAAGAAATCAGGTTGGAGAGAAAGCCAGAATGTCACCTTTGTGATCATGTTTTTCCTTCTATGTAGGACCACCATCTGTGCAAGTAGCCCAAGCCACTCCTTTTAACACAAGGGAGCCTGTGATGCTGGCCTGCTATGTGTGGGGTTTCTATCCAGCTGAGGTGACCATCACGTGGATGAAGAATGGGCAGCTTATCAACCCTAACAACAGTGCTCAGAAGACTTCCCAGCCCAATGGAGACTGGACGTACCAGACCGTTTCCCATTTACCCCTAACCCCTTCTTATGGGGACATCTATACTTGTGTGGTGGAGCATTTTGGGAATCCTGGGCCAATCTTTCAGGACTGGAGTAAGTGTATGGTAGACAGGAGGAATCAGAGAAAAGAAGAGAGATATTGGAAGTTATTGGTTGAAAAAAAAACATGAGTATTTGGGCAAAGGGTGTGAGATGTGGAGACATGCATGGTTCATATGGATCAGAGGGGGATGCCATAAATTGGAGGTGAGTCTGGAAAAACTTATGGAGGGTTTATGACCAGAGATGGGGCAATGGGATAAAGGAGTGTAAAGAGTTAGTTATTGTCATTGTTGCTATCGTGGTGTAGTTGATATTGCTGTGTCTTGTACTGACAGTGGGAGGAGAACATGATTGTCCTAGAAAGAGGATGTAGATTTGGGAACCACACATTCAGAACCAAGCATTGGAATTCACTACCATAAGCGACTGGTTAGACTTCAACTATTCTGTTGTCAGGTCAGGAATGGGAGTTGAAGAACTAATGAAGGTAGAAGAGGAAAGGGAGCTCTCTCCTGGTGGGGCAGCCATGAATCGAGGCTGTCCTATCTAGTGTGATGAGGTGGTAAAGACATGGAGGGTAGATATGGTGGGTATGCTTAGGGACTAATAGGTTAATGACCACTGTTTCAATCCCAGGATTGGGAGTTGTTAAAGGTAAGAAGAAAACTAGCACCCAGATTTGGAGATTTTTGGGAAAGGAAAGAGGTAGAAATGAGGAAGAGAAAAGGTGACTATGAGGAAAGGAACCGTAGAACAGCATTCCAGACTGGCTGTGGAAACCAGGCCTCCCCTTGGTGGGAGTGCTCTGTCTTTCTGGGCAGCTGTTGAAGGGTCTGGGGAACAGGAAGAGAGAGGAACTTGCATGTTCACTCAAGTTCTCCTGGGGTAGGTCTCCCTGGTGCACAAGGAGTTTCGCTGGGGGACGGAAGGTGCATTTTATGGGGGAAATAATCCAACTGGAATATGATTCAAAATAGGACCAGCTCTAGGAATTGTGGTGGGAGAGCGCTATGGAGTGGAATGGAGGCAAACCTCTAAAAGGATGCATGAGAAATCTGGCTGTAGAAGACACATAAGCTGCATATTAGAGAGAAAGTAGAAACTAGGGTGCCAGCTCTGGGGACATAGGTTCTCCAGGGTTGCTCTAGGAGTAGAGATCCACAGGATGGCAGGTTTCAAAGAGGAAAGTCATCTCCTTGGGAGTGGGTTGGTGGGAACTAGATCCGTGGGGCTTGGAAAAAGGACCTGTGAACCTTCTTGATGGAGGTTGCAAGAAATTATGTTGCTCTGACAGTGAGTATTAGAGACTGGTTCTAGTAAGTTTCTACTTTTTGCAGCACCTGGGCTGTCCCCTGTACAGACGGTGAAGGTTTCTGTGTCTGCGGTGACTCTGGGCCTGGGCCTCATCATCTTCTCTCTTGGTTGCATCAGCTGGCGGAATTCTGCCTCCTCTAGTGAGTGACCCCCTTGACCTTCCATCCTTACACCTGCTCCCAGCCTCTGCTCACTTTCTGTTTGTGGTTGATTCTCCCACTCTTACCTGTTTGTTATGAATAATACTAGATATTTTCATCCATAAAAACTGGTATAATCAAGTATCTTCCTCTCCTAGGCTACATTCCCCTCCCTGGATCCAATTATCCAGAAGGTAATTTGTTGATCTGTGTGCCCTCTGTGGGGGGTGAGGGTTAGAGAGGGGTTGGTGTTGGGTTCATGGCATGATTTAAGCTGTTTTGGTTGGGATTAGGAGCAGGAATGAGGAAAGGGGAGTGTCCATGGGAAGGAGCTGAAGATGGTTCCTTCATATTAGAGTTATTGACCTAGATTTTTGAATACCATTATATTAAGGGCTCTGACATGGGATGGTTATAGAAACAAAAGATGGGGTCAAGTTGGCTTATTATTATCTCTTTTCTATTTCTTCTGCAGGACGGCACATTTCGTAGAGACAGAATCCTACAACTTCCATGCTGAGGAGATTCAAACTCTTAAGGATGCTACCATACCCACTCCCCAACATCTTAAATTACCCTACATTCTTTTGGATCCTAAGATTTTTTTCCATCCAATTCTTTGAATTTCCCAATCTCCCTATGTAAACCTTGGCAACTTGGGGGAGCTTATTGCTGGGAATATTCTGTAATTAAATTATTGTCTAAGGCTATATTTCTGGGGTGAGTATAATCTGGGGGAGGGAGGGGATTAAAGATCCTCCTGAGGGACTCATTGTGTCAAAGAGGTCACTGAGTTGCTGGTGTCATCTCTGAGAAATAAACTGATGGAAATATATTTTTTTTTCTGTGTGTTTTTCCTAGGGGTCTGGGGGGGGGAAGGAATATGGCTGAGGCTGATTCTCTCATTAAGTGAAAGAGCTGGTGCCTCCTCGTTTTTTCAGCTAGACGCGACAGAATCTGGGACAATTTTTGAATTTTTAATTCATAAGAAGAAATTAAGCTGTGATGGAATAGAGTCACAGAATAAGAGGGGGTGTCTAACAATCTACCCCATAAGGGGTCTTTTAAGGATTAAATGAATACTTCTAAATGGCTAAGTACATGCCTGGCATATACTGAACTCTCGGGGTGACATTAGCTATTATCAATTGTTTGGCATCTGGGCAAGCAGTGTGCCAGGTCTTTTACATGCATTATTTTATTTGATCCTAATCACAGACCCAAGCAGACCTCAGAACTTCAAGATTCAGGGGGCGGAGCTCAACTTTAGATTTGAGTCCTAGCAAGTTGTTTTTCTTATACCCTGAGTGAGGAGGGGATCTAGCTGGAGTGCATGTCCTCAGCCCTGGGCCAGGTACATCATGTTTGCATCTCTTTCTCTTCTCCCAGTATCCCCATAGGGACCTATTTCCTTCTACGCCACAATCCAAGGAAGTGAGGTTCCAAGAAGTTAAAAAATTTGTCCAAGGTCAAAAAAAAAAAAAAAAAAAAAAAAGCTCTGTACAATGTTTGTCTACCGGAGATATTTCTGAAGATCCTCGTGTAGGTGAGCATACCTCTCTAGAAGGTCGCCCTTCCATTTCTTTACATCTGAAGTCAGAGGGGGCACCTCTGTTGTGGGACAGAGTTCACCCTGTAGGAGAGGACACGGTTGGTGCTATTTATTTTCCAGTGGAGACACCTGCTGGACACAGAGAGATGAGCGGTGGAATTGTTTTTGGAATTAGAGTTGGGCACTCAGTTGCCAGCAAGGAAAAGAAACCGGACATGAAAAGAGATAAAAATACTGAAGGAACTTAACAGAGAATTGTAGAGAAAGAATAAGGGGTTATGGTCTAGTGTTTGTGTGTGTGGGGGGGCGGGGGGGGGGAACTACTAGGAACACAGCATCAGGATCCGATGAGCCGGGAGAAGGGATCAGAGACAGGCTGTTTGGAAACTCTCTGTGGACTCTTACCGCGGTAGGTGTGAGTGGGTGGGAGACGTGGTCACCAGTGCTAGAACCCTCTGCTCTAGACTGATCCTGTGCTGGAGAAGAGTGGGGGTCGCACTGTTCATACAAACTTCACGTCCAGTGTAGCTGCTCAGTGTTTTTCCAATCAATGAATTGATCTCCACTGCACCCACTGTTTCCCCAGAAAGATCCTTGTGATCAGGGCATTTTTTTTTTTTCTGGAAAGAGTTTGTAGCAGACATCATCGGGAGGGGAAATACTCATGAATTTAAATGGTTATTCCTGGAGCAAGGCCATACAGGATAGGAAAAAGCAGAGTGATGTTACTGGGAAGGTAATTGGTAAATGTAGCGTCAGAAATTAATCCGCAATTTTTACTGGTTTTATATTTCACTTTCATTTTTTGTTTTCATTCACTGACCTTGTTTTTGATTTTGATTATTTAACAAAGCATATTCCTTTTGAAATTGTAGGCTAGTTTGGGTTGGGGCTTTGGTTGTGTCTATGCTTGTGTGATTTAGAAGAAGCCGCACATCTGGAATATCTGGAGTCTGGTTGTTACCAAAAGCTGGGTCCTTGAACTTGATGCCAATCCAATAATGAAGACACTGTTTTGAGAAAAAAAAGAAAAAGAAGTATTATTGCTTTTTTTTTTTTTTATTGGTTGTTCAAAACATTACAAAGCTCTTGACATATTGCTTTGCTAGCAAAGGAGAAACATGGGAGAATCCTGTCCCAGAGGCTGATTCTGCCCCTCAGCAGGAACAGAGGGCTTTTAAAGAGGTGATTCCACAGGACATGCTCTCTGTTGGAGTTGTAATTCACTTGGTAATTTGGGAGTCTTTTCTGAGCTCTCCTGGTGCGGTCCCCAAAGTCTGGATTACTTCATTCCAATGGTGGGTGTGTGCTCAAGAACAGATAAATCTGCCTAAAATGAGGGAAGCAAAGTAATCCTGTTTCCCCTGACTTTAGGGAGGGGGAGAGATTAGGGAGGAGCAGGGAGAGATCAAGAGAAAGAAACATGTCCTTTTAAAAACTAAGTTGCAATGGCAGAGCAGTAAGGGCTAGATTCAAAGTATAAAGTAGACCATTTTGTTAACACGGTCACAGCAGTGGGGATCAAAGGGCCAGGACCCCAGAGAAGGAAAGAGACAGTCATCTAATTAAACAGCTTTTAGACCCCTCCACCCTGGCCACCAGAGATTACTGGTGCAGCCTTTTCTCTGCCCTAAATTTGTGTTTTATTTTATAGGAGAAAGCTGTCAACTTCCAGGCGAGGATTAGAAGAAAACACCCCATGGGTCTCCCAGGATCTAGGAAGCCAGATTACTCTAGGTGGAAAAGGAAATACCGTTGTCATTACACAGGGGGATAAGGATGCACGAGAGGAAGGTAGAAGGGGGTAAAGGTGGGCCAGTGAGGGATGGTATGAAAGTAGAATGTCAGACATTATGGGGTGCCCAAGAGGAGGGAAGTGGGGGATAGTGGGGGAAAGAGGGAGAGGGAGAGAATAGAAGAGAGGGAGAAGAAGGCAAGAGCAGAGACCCAGGAGAGAGAAGAGAGAATTGGGCTTTTGGATTATTCCTAATGTGAGCTACATAATGGTTCAGAGCTGGAACTGACTTTAAAGGTCATCTAGTCCAACTCTCCACTCACAAAAGTACCAGAGTCTCTGTCCCCAAGGGCAAGAACAGTGCAAGGAGTTCCTTCAACCCCCAGGGCAGATAACACTGCTTTAGAGAAATGTGTGGACTCCAGGTTTGAGGTTCTCCTTTGACCATTAAAGACAATGGAAGTAAAACCCAAATATACGACGGGAGGGCGCAATGAAGGGTAATGGAAGGGAGTAGCCTTAGATCTTTCCTGAGTTACAGGTTTTTTTTAAATCCCCTCCCTACCTGTGCAGGCATTCGTGTAAAAGGAACAAAAATCAGCATTTAATCACAGTGCCTAGTTATGAAAATTACTTTTTGATCATTTTCTCAATTAATTCTGTTTCCAAAGTAAAATTGGGCAAATCAGAAGACATGAGGGTGGAGCTCCACCTCAACTCCATCTCATATCTGGTGAAGTGCCTGCCATTCCTAGGAGCCCCCAAAATGCTTTGAAGCAAGGCATGAAGGATTCCTCCTTGATGCTTCCTGACAGTCCTTGGCCAGACTGTCCCCAGGGGCTGCAGAGGTTGCAGAGGCACCAACTGCTCCCAGACCGTGTGCTTGTGTAATGGGTTCACTGATGCTTTGACTATATCCCTTGTGACTTTGGAACTTACTTTTTTTTTTTTTTTCTTTTTCCCCAATCTCCTTTTCCCTAAACTTCTCCTCCCTGATCTCCTTTTCCCTAACATCTCTTTTCTCATCTCCTCCCTGATGTTTTTTCCCCTGAGCTTCTCCTTCCTGATCTCACCTCTAATATCATTTTCTCTGAATCATCTCTGTAAAAGCCCACTGTTTTCCTGCTGAGGGGCAGAATCACAGCCTTTGAGACGGGAGTCCCCTGTGTTTCTCCTTTGCTAGTGAAAAACCAGCCTCTACCTCAGAGCAAAGCCTGTCCAAGGAAGGGACCTGACTTTTGTCCTTGGAAAGACCCACAGCGCACTCCTAGGCACATTCCCACCCTGCTAAGTTGTTTATCTACTAATGAGATCTGCTGTCCCAGGTGTCCATGACTCAGTCAGGCTAGGTGAGGACCCATAGCAACCCCCTAGCAGCCACCAATCACCATGAGACAAGGAAATACCTGGGATGCCACATGACCCTCCCAGTAGTTTATGGTGGTTGATAATGTGTTGGAAAACCATGTAGTTCAGCATATACACCCCTCTTGGCTTAAACCAATCAGTTCAAATGAATCCCCCTCTTGTAGTAACCAATCACCCCTACCCAACTTGTTCCCGCCAGTGAATGTGCTAATCATGTTTTAGAGTTGTTATTTGATTTTCCCGCTGTGTGTGATGATTTGCTAAGAGATGCTATGATGTCCCTGCATTCTCCAAAGAATGTATAAAACTGCTGCAAACCCTGGGCTCGGGGCCTCTCAGTGTCACCAGTTGCTGTGTGCGCGCAGAGGACCGAGCTAGCTCACGATAAACACCTCTTTGCTTCTTACATCTATCTTGGTCTCTGGTGGTCTTTTGGGGGTCCTGAATTTGAGCATAACACTAGCAAAGCAATAAACCTTTTCCCTTTTTCTCAAAACTCTGTTCCTGTTATTACATTGGCACTGGGGACAAGGATCAAGCTTTCGGCAACACTTGCTGGTTCTCAGACCCTGCCTCATCCACTGCATGTGAGGAGTCCAAGAACTCTTGGCCAAGGTGGTCTGGGACAGGGGATGAAGAAATGGTTTTTATGGTTATGGTGTCCAAGTCCCAACAGATAACAGATGGCATACTCAAAATAGAATAGTTCAAAGACAGTTTAATTTACAAGGAAGGATTTACAAAGAAGTGGGTGGAAGACAGTACAATGAGCTGGTGGCAGCTGGGTTGTTCTTACCCTAAGAGCCAGGGACAGGAGAGGTTATCAGAATTCAGCTGGAGAGCAAGTCTTGTAGGGTTGCCACCCTGCCAGGAGCAGTGCCCATCAGTCAAGGGACAGCCAGTTCAAGGTGAATGCAGAGAAGGAAGCCTGACTTCATACTTCTCTTCCATCTGCTGTCAGGTGGAGGCTAAAGCAAGAGGAGCCTGTCTGTGTCCTACAGGTCAGCACTCTGGGTGCACACCAGGGTGGAGAATGGTGGAGATTGGGTCCGGAAGGACAGATGGGGACAGTAAGCACATTCACAACGGGGAGGAAAGGAGCCAAGGTTGGGTGTGTGCTGGGGGAGAGGTACAGAACGTGGGCTTCCTTTGGCCTTGAACAGCTATAGAAACTTAGTAG